TTAGGTAGTATCATCTCTCTATGTTCAGGAATAATGCTTTAATGTAATCACAGTGATTCAAAGTAATAAGAGATTTATTGTAATTTGTAAAAGCTCATAAAATAGCTATCTATATCTCTTGGAGGTGTTTGCTGAAAAAAAGTCATTTTCTTAAGTGTGATACATGGGGAACATGGGGAAATCACTAAATCTTGTCACACAAGTGTAGTACTTGGCCATGTACAAGGGTAAGAAGTGATTATTCCTGCTTTTACATTTAAGCATCCAGCTTTTTTTGCTTGGGTCATCTAATTCCCTGAGCCCCTGAACCCAAAACTCTTATGTTTAGCCCTAGGCATGTAAGTTGTCTTAATGTCTTCAGTTCAAAAAGATTAAGCTTAAGCACAGGCTTAAGTCTGTACTTATTACAGAGAACACATTCGCCTGTATTTCAACTTCAGTGTTTATGATCATATTAATTCAAAAAAAAAAAGGTCTAAAATTAGATCTGCATTTAAGATGTCCCTCTGACTCAAACCCGCTGACACGGATAGGCTGCCTGTGTGTGCACGGGGAGGATTTTTAAGACAGTTTTCCATCTTTCTGAGGCAATTGCAAGCAGTGACTTTTTCCCCAGAGCCAACACCTTACAGGTCAGTCTGGATCTGATGAAACATTCCCTCATGTTGATCCCTCGGTGACTCCAGGACTTCCTTCACTCTGCACCAACCTGCAGAGGTGCCACGCTGTATTTTGCAGCGTGTAACCGCGTGTTTGGGGCACATCTGATCAACAGTGGTGTCCCGCGTGAGCGTTGCTCGCTTTTGAATTGGATGGAATTGAGGAGATGGAGAAGTTCAATCTGCCACTTCACTCTGTCCATCAGTCACTTGCCCGCTTCTCTTGATCGATAGAAAATAATGATAAAAAATGGACGCTCTTTAATAGGGATCTATATCCCGTCCTCAAAATGCAAAGGGATCATTAAAACAAATCGATGAGAATGTTATTATTTGTTATTAAATCTGTAAAGGTTTAGAGTAATTCTTATGGAATTCTATTACGGTTTTATCAAGACTTATTGATTTTATCTTATTAAGTTATAGAGCACTTTTCCCAGAGGTCAGTTGGTTTGGCACATAGGTAAGGTACACTGTTTCTCTTTCTGAGCCATCTGTATGTGGCAGATCTTGTGACTGAATATCCCCTCAGAGATGCTCTTTCAATTATGAGTAAAGTTAGTACAGAGGTTTACAGGTTTAGCTTGGATGTACCTAAAAATCTAAGAACACTTTCTAAATTCTCTTCTGACCCATCCACATGAGTGTTGTCCTTAGGGAGTTTCACCCCAGAAATGCAGAAATTGTGCTGTCCCTTCTAGAAACGCTTGTGAGTTGCTAATTTGTCATTAATTGAGTACAAGAGCTGTACCAGGAGAGTTTTAATAAAGAATTTCCCTAAAACACGGGAAAACCAGGTAAAGTATTTTGCCTTAGCAAAAATACGTCAGAAGGAGATGGAGGTGACTCAGCAGTCACAGGTAGTCTCCTTTCATAGAATCATATAATCTCCTGCACTTTGCGCAACTTTATTTTGGAAAGTTTTAATTTCAACGTGGAAAGCCCACATTAAGGGCTGGAGAAGCTGCACTGAATATATGGGGTTGGCTCAAAGATTCCGTAGCACTTAAATACCCCACTGAGGTTTTCTCCTATCCCGTTTTTGGTGTTTTGCTTGCGGGTTTCCAGGATTTAGTTGCTCCTCTTTGGGTGCTGGCATGAAGTTGGGATGGTTTGTGGCTTAGGGATTGCCAGCATGCTGAGGCTTCCTGATGTATTTATTGCAGGAGGGGGCTGTATTTTCTAGTGAAGGCACAGGTAAAATATTAATTTGTGTTCAGCCTGGTTCTGGAAGACCCCAATACTCATTTTTTCTGGTTTGGTCTTTGGAAGTCATGTATGTTGTGTCTTATGAGCAGTGGGCTTTGGGTGTGAGTCACAGACAGTGGACTAAGCATTAGGAAAATGTATATTATAGTTGGGTCAGTAGTAAACAAAGCTAATACAAGGAGGCAGACTGACCCCAGTCCTCATCTTTCTTATTTGAAAACATCTGTGTACATGCTCTCTAGTTTCATCCTGCAGTAGATGGGTTGCTATGCTAATTTAAGAATACCATATGTCTTTTCCCTTAACTCAATTTCATTCTGTGGAGTGCCAGATTGAGTCAATTTACCCACCTTTTGCAGTGAGAGGAGTTGTTGGCTCTGGTGCAAGGAACCTTTTTCTCTCTTTCAATGGAATATGTATTTACTGTCATCTCTGTCTGCAAAACCAAAAGGAACTATGTGATCACGCAATATAGAGAGGTGGTTTAGTATCTGTAAGAGCTTGCTGCTTCTGTGTTTCCACCCTTTTCTGCAATGCCAGTACAGGTTGTAAAGCCAAGGAAAGGGATAGAATAGGTATTGTGAGATTTGCATCGTCAATGGATTTGCTCCTTTTGGATAGCCGATAATTTACCTCTGAGCTTCTCAGTGAGCAAACAGCATTTTCAAGTCCTCTTTAGGATTGATCCGCTTTATCTAGGTTTCACATTGGCATAGCTTGAACACTTCAGCCTTCTTAGTAAAAGAAAAAACTCTTCCATAACCTGAACTTGAACTGGGATTGCAGTTCTGGCAGGTTACATTAAAAATACTGAATCTAAACCGCCTCTGTAAGCAAAAGCTCTGATGTTGCTCGTTGCAGGCTCAGGACAGGGAGGACTTGGGAAAACTCCTCAGCACCACTAACAGGGGTGAATATCCTGCTATTCCAGTGTGTTTGTTGTAGGACTGATATAAGTATGAAGAGAATGGGCACGACTCCTTGCTTCAGAGGGACTGTCAGCTTTGGGAAAGCCTGTAACACCAAGCAGGGATTTCAGCTGCCGGGAGCCTGTAAGCTGGCCAAAGGGGTGGAACAGCGATTGCTGGGTTGTGGCACCTCTGGTGCAGAGGTGATGAAGCTTTTCCATGTTCTATGCCAAGAACACTCGGCTGTGTTCAGAGCAGATGAGAGGATACAGCTTCAGAAAGAAAAAGAAAAAAGACAAGAAAAGAAAAGATTTCACGTATGAGCACTTCAGTGTGCACTAATGTGTTTGTCCTCGTGCAACTCTTCTGTTTGCCAAGCGAAACCAAATCCCAGGCATAGTAATGCGGGTGACCCTGGCTGGGATGGGGGCTCAGCCTGGTCTCCTCACGCTGTGCCCTCGTAGGAGCTTTGTGGTGGCAGTAAGGAAGGTCAGGTTGCTGCCCTCATGCTCATACGTAGGATATTTGGCTGGTGATCAGCAATGATTTGTGTGCAAGGGGGTTTCCTTGGGCTCTGAGGAGTTGCTGTGACTTTGAAAGGGAATAACCAGAGAGAACAGCGCTGTACCACAGCACTAACATGTTGTTCCTTTCAGCCTAATATTACCACGGCTTATTGGGAGAGTATTTCTTTGAGTTTCGTATTGCACCGTGAGAAAAATCTGCTAAAAGGAGCGTGATCTGTGAAGGGGGTTTGTCTGAACTAGTAAAGGGTATTTGGCTTGGTTTTAAATTACAGAATTTGAGAACTTCAGGAGAAGATCCCTACCCTGTGGCAGGTCTAATTTGTGATCAGAATTTCATAAACTGTTTAGTTTTGTAGCAGAGTTTAAATATTTTTTATTTTCTCTACGGTTTGTAAGCCTTCAGCTATACCTTTCTTTAATCTCTATACATACACGTGTGTTTGTAAATATATGTGTGTGGATATACAGTGATGCATGTTTCTGGGGAGGGGAAAAAAAAAAAAAAGACAAGGGAAAAAAAAGTTCAGGAGAAGATCGCTACCCTGTGGCAGGTCTAATTTGTGATCAGAATTTCATAAACTGTTTAGTTTTGTAGCAGAGTTTAAATATTTTTTTATTTTCTGTACTGGTTTGTAAGCCTTCAGCTATATCGTTTCTTTAATCTCTATACATACACTTGTGTTTGCAAATATATGTGTGTGTACATACAGTGGTGCATGTTTCTGGGGAGGGGAAAAAAAAAAAGACAAGGGAAAAAAAAAGCCAAAGCAAAATATGTTTCTCATGTAGTAAGTTGGTGTAAGTGCTACAGGGAAACAAAACATGGTTAAGAACCCCATAGAAACTGCAACCTGCTCGCTGCTACACAGCTACTCGGATGTGATGCAGTTTCTTTCAGTGAGTAGAGGACTATTCGCTGTCTGTATTTTCAAAAAGAAGAGTCAGGGGCTTCAGATACGTTTACCACCCTTCAGCTCAGCTGTTAGAAATGACAATTTTTTCCTCACTGTTTTAATGCTGGGGTTGTATGCCATGTTGACTCCTGCAGCACTGCAGTCTGTGGCTGCGCGGCTTCGGTGACAAACTGAATCTCACAGGTCTTGGGAAATATTTTCTCCCTCCCTCACTGCTTCAGGGGGGTCTCATCCGGGTGTCTGGTAAATCCTGGTGATTCACAGTTACTTTGTACTTTGCAGCAGTTTTGGTCTCTGAGTTTATCTGTACCTTTGTGAACGGAAATTAAGAGAAAAATACTTGCTACAAAAACAATGAGGCGTGTCAATAATGGCAGGTCTAGATCAAACTGCCTTCTCTGGAGGTCTGGAGAGGTTAATTACAAAATTAGGTGTATTGAGCTCAGCCTAATACCAGCTGCACTGTATCATTTATTTTCATTCCTTATTTGTATATCTCTAATCCATGCTCTTTGCTTATAGCTCTTTTTTTTTTTTTTATGTTAATCTCCCTACCTTTATCCCTGTCAGTTAGCAGCAGACCAATTTACTAGCAAGATACAGCTGATTAGATAAAATGTGCAATGGGCTTCCTTCCTTCTCCACGGTCATCTCGTGTGGTTAGAGCTGTGGACGTGTGCTGGGTGGTGAAGAAGGGACAAGCAGAGTATTTCTTTTCCAGGCTGCAGTTCCTCCTGAGCAGCACGAGCCGGGTTTCAGCTTTCCACCTGTCTCCCTCTCCAGGGTTCGATGCCTATTTTACCTCCCGCACCCTGGAGAACAACAGAAGGAACGTGTGGTTTGCAGAGTACTGGGAGGAGAACTTCAACTGCAAGTTAACCATCACTGGGTCAAAGAAGGAGGACACGGACCGTAAGTGCACAGGTAACTTCACTCGCTTCTCCCTCCTCGTGCTGCCAGGGGCTGACTGCACAGCTGATGGAAGGCAGCTTGGCTGGAGACAGATGGAAAAATAAATTGAATTTTTGTAGGTTGTATAGAAAATGAAACAGTGCTTCAGCCTTGCAGGATAAGTAGATGGAAAGAGTCAAAACATACTCTTCTATTTCTTCTTTTCTCCGGCTGTCCCTCCAGGAGAAAAAAAAAAAACAACAGTATTTTCCACGCAACCCAGAAGTGCTTCTGTTTGAGTTGCAGGGTGGCTCGAGGGTTTCCATTAGATTTAGATGGAGAATATTTCCATGAGTGCCTCATCACTCATCTGCAAAATCAACTTGGCCGCCCGTCGTGTCGGAGCATGTGATGCTTGTGCAAGAACCGAACTTTTGAAAGAAATGCACCTGCAGGAAGGTACTAGCACAGAGAGAAATGGTTTTCGTTCGAGGTAGAGTAGACTTGTTGATCAGGTTTTTGTTCTCACTGATGGTATTCAAGAAATTGGGGTTGAATGAAGTTTTGCAGCCTCAGCTCAGTAAGGTGGCAAAGGCGCCTCAGAATTCTTGTTTCTGCTCACGTGGAGAGTCGAGGGATTATTTCTAGTCACAGAGATGCTCAAGTAACATTTGGGGGGTGATTTGATTTTTAAGCGAGCTCTGCCCTTCTTAGCACAACCATCCTACTGATGCAGGGTGACAGAGTTCTTTGAACCCCAAGTGTTTGATTCGAAAGGAAATGGTGGCAGAGATGCATGTTCTTGGGGTCCTTCAGACCTGACCAGGTGTTACTGGGTGATCCATGGGGGTGAGAGCAGCATTGCTGGTTTAGTGACCCTGTGCTGAGGTGAGGTATTGGGTTGAGGGTGCTAGAAAATTCTTTGTAGACTGAGGTCTAGCAAAGCGTTTCTAAAACTCAAAAGTGGAGAGAGTCTGCCCTCAAACTGCCAGGTCTCTGGTGAGCCTCTGCTTGTGGTGTGAACCTCCATAGCATGGACTTGGGGCATTTGCTCGGGGTTTACAACGCAGTGGGTAAGCTCAGGGTCAGAACGTATCTGCCGTGATACAGACTGCGAAAGCGGTAATGCTGCCTGACACCCGCCCTGCCTTTACCTCCCTTTGCCTTTTCCTCCCCTCCCCTTTTAATTTTCCACAGCAGCAGTTTAAATTCATTATGTTGAGTAATTTCCTTGAGTTTTGATCAAAGGAAATTAGTTCATAGGAGGATATGTTTTACTTTGATTGAAAATTGATGAAAACTTTCCATATTTCATATCATCTGCTTTTGGTTTCCATTCATGGGTGCGAGTAGGAGTGTTGTGCGTAGAAACCGTGCAGTTACGGCTGGGAATGCACTGCTGTTAAATTTGGCATTTGGAGTCTCCCCCAAAGGCTGGAATTTGGCTGAAAACTGCTAGAAGATCTTTAGGATCATTTCTAAAAGCCTCTTATTCTTTATGCCATCACATTATTACGATTGCTCAGGGGCTGTGCTTCCCGATGTGTTCTGCCTTCCCTCGGCGTAGGTTCAGTAAAAGCATTTGTTTTCGCTGGCTAACTTACCCTGTCGAACTGAAATGCCACATTACAGCTCGATATTGCACCGAACGACGTGCCTCGACGTCTCCCTTCCCTCTTCTACAAACTGAAGTAAATTGTGCATCAGAAAAAGCATTAGCCCTGAATTTATATTGCTAGCGCGAGAGTTGTAATGTCCCGCCGATGCAATAATGTTGTGAATGATCATCACCATTATTTTGAAGTTTGATCGGTAATTTGTAATGCAGCGAGGTACTAGGCTACAGGCCATCGGTTTCTGACAGCAGTCATGCTCCCGAGCACCGGCGTGAGGTGTGGGAGGCTCGTGCTTCGAATTGAACCTCGGTGCTCGTGGCCACAGACTGCGATCGAGAAGAAAAACCGCTCCACGGAGGCACCCTGTGGGCAGCTTACCTTGTCATACAGCAGCTTTCCGGGATATTTCTATGTGCAGAACTTCTGTACTGCTGCCATTTATATTTATTTAAGCGTGAGAGCTTTCCCTTGTTTTTTCTCGGATGGGTAAGATCTAGAATGACAACGTGAAAATTCTGTTTAGCCCACCCCACCTTATTTCCAGATAAGGTTAAGCACACCGCTGTAACTAATTACTCTCTTTCTAGTGGTTGTTTAATTTTGGTATTTGGTAATTTCTGCTGGGATTGGGTAATTTCAGCCGCCTCAAAGCAAACACGCAGAGACAGCCGAGTGCTTTGCTTTTCCCTGGGGAAGGAAGTGCCATAACCCCGGTCGGGTGCTGCTTTCTCTGCTTGCCCGGGCCCCAGAGCTGCTGCCTCGCCCCTCGTGGGATGCTGCGGTTTGCTTTTAAGGACTCTTCATCAAACCACACGGGGAATCTAATATAACCTCTGAAACGGCATGAGAGGAACAAACATTGGTTTTAGACAGTTCATCGTTTTACTTCTTGCTGCTCACATTTATGAATATTAGACACTTGCTTCAGTTGTAACAGGCCATGTCAGGTTAATGTAGGAATATTTGGGGGAATAGGAAGTTTTTGGTACCATCCATTATGGTAAAAATGTGCTTTTTCTAGGGAAGGAATAACAGAAGGAAAAGACTGTCTTTGCAGAAGGGAATAGTACTGCTCTTTGTAGCTGTGATTCTGCAAAGGGAACCACCAAGTGCTCTGCCCACACCACATCACCTGCTGAGGTGACACTGGCACGTGTTGCCCAGAGAGAGGGTAGAGACTTCATCCCTGGAGCCATCCAAGATCAGGCTGGATGGGGCTCTGAGCTACCTGATCCAGTGCAAGATGTCCCTGCTCCCTGCAGGGGCTTGGGCTAGGTGACCCTTGAAGGTCCTTTCCAGCCCAAACCATGCTGTGACTCTGTGGGGTCTGGGCTTTGATTGTGAGCTCAGCTGAAGATACTTCCCTGTACAAAGCCACATTGTACTAATATTGCCTGTGCCAAAAGATTTAGGGAGTTGGAATTAACAGTCGGTAAAACAAGTTTTTCTGTGTTCATAGGATCATAGAATGGTTTGGGTTGGAAGGGACCTTAAAGCCCATCTCATTCCCACCATCTGTCATGGGCAAGAACACTTCCCATTAGACCCGGTTGTTCAAATCCCCGTCCAGCCTGGCCTTCAAGTGTTGACCATGACACATTGTCACGAACCGGGTTCTTCCTGACTTCCAAAGTGATTACTGAAACCAAACGCACGGTTCTGCGTATTTCAGAGCATAGAATCATCAAATTGTGAATATTCCAGACATTGCCCTGTGCACAGGTGTCTGCAGACAGCTGCGGGCTGCTCTCCCGACACCCACCAGCACGGCCACCTCCTGGGTGCCCCTGAGCCCAACACTGTCCTCAGCAGGGAGAGGGGCTCACCAGAGAGGTGTGGAAGCTGATGAGTACCCAGGAGTACCTCTGCACCCCAAGACTTCCCACGTTCCAAATACCCCACCAGGAAAGGCAATGGAAACGCTTGGCTCTTCCCACTTATTAAACATAGCCTTTAATTCCCATAGCTTTACACTCAAGGAGACTTAATGAAGTGATATAAGGGTGATGTCACCTTGGATGCCATTTATCAGGATGCAGGTTTCTCAGAGAGCTTTCCTAATTATCTGCAAGTGTAATCAGTGTGAGGGTACAGCCCGGATGATGGCTCAGGTGATGACTTGCTCTGGAGAAAAGGCTGGGAGGAAGCTCCCTGCAAGATGAAGTGAAACTTAGTAAGAGGGTTTGTAAGAGAGGGGCTGCTGTGCTTAGAATTTAAATTGAAAGCGGAGAAAATGCCTTAAAGGGACCCAGATTCACCTCCCTGGGGCTGCGTGTGTGGGCAGGAGCAATCTCAGGACCATGAGTCCTCTCGGTGTAGAGTCCTTGAGAAACATCTCCTGCCATGACCAAGCTCAGGTGCCAAGCTCCTGCACAGGGAGTGACCTCAACCTGCTCATCCCCAGCATCTCTGAGCATTTGTTGGGTCCCTGTTCAAGGCTGGAGGAAGAGGAGGGAGCGTGGTGGAGGGATGATGCTCTGAGGAGTCTTACCCCATCAGCAGCATTTTACTGGGCAAAGGTGTGGTGGCTCAGAGAGGCCAAATCCCTTTTAAAATGTCAGGAGCATCGATCAGGAGGGGCTGGGCTAAGGAGCGAGTTTCTCTCATCTAAAAATGTTGCAAGACAGGATTAAAAGTCAGTGAAGGACAGAGGTGCCTTGGGTAAAAATAAAAAGATAATAATGAAGAAAGCAGTAGTTTGAGTGTGTGTATATGTACGTCTACTCTCTGGGGAGAGGATACCTCATGTTCTGATGAGCATCTGACTTCCCTTGTTTAGGGAAGGAAGAAAAGTCAGATTTCCATTTAATACAGGAAAAGATTAAAATAGCAAAGGAATAGTATCCTACATTTTATATTTTACCATGAATTTGTGCCGCGTGTGCCCTTTGTCTGTCAGAATTTCCTGGAACTGCTTTTTTGGGGATATAACCTTTGGAACACAGTGCTGGCAGCCACACTTCATCTGAGTTTTCTCAAAACTAGTGGTGATTTTGGGAAATACATAATGAATCCACAAAGGTGGAAGCCCAAGTCTGGATACCCGAAATTTGCCCCAAACGAGGCACTGCTCTGTTTCATGGCTGTGGAAAAGCAGGGGTGGGGGAAGACCCTCCAGATGGTTTTGGAAAACCACTTAATTTCTGTAGTAACCTTAAAATTATATATAGCTGGAAATCTTTGTTTGTGTTTTGAGGTTTGGGGGTTGTTTTTGAGGAAAAGGAAGGTAAGAGCAATACCCTGTCTTTTTTCTCACCAGCAGCCAAGATGACTGTTAGGGTGAAGCCATATGTTAGGGAAGGAAAAATAATGAGAAAGAAAAGATGTAGCAAATAGCAGAGCCTGAGGGGGTATCAGAATATTATTTATAATTTGACTACAAAAAGTGATCTAGTGCATTAATGATTAGCAAAGTGC